TTACGCAAATGATTAATCCTAATGCAGAGCCGACCTCCAATAAGGAAAAGGATTCTATTTCTGTTAGAGGTTCTTCAAATGATTTGGTGGATAGGAAGGCTGAAGGAAGCTCTTCAGTAGGAGACTGCTCTAGCACCTATCCTGGTTTGTTGATCGGAAGAGCAAAAAGAATATTGACAAGGAAAGCACTAGATCTTGTGAGCATTGATACAATCTTCTCTCCAGCTTTTTCTAATTTTTTAGAAGAAGCTCTTGCAACATGAGAAGTTAGTAAGCTCCTGGGGGTATCTTTCAAGGAAGGAAAAGAAGCCTTCTTAGAAAGAGTCATGAGTCTTGAGAGAGAGGCGAATGAGACCTTTCAAGGGGAGCTTGGAGGCGGTGATTAGCTTGAAGGGGCTTTATAGGGGAACTTCTTTATATCCTCAATGATAAAATCTAAATTTATCATTTGTTCTTGGAATATTAGGGTTTGGGTAGAAAACAAAAACAGAGGGTTGTTCAAAATTTATGTTAAAAAATAAATCCTACTTTTTTATGGTTGCAAGAAACTAAGACTGAGAAGATTCAGAGGTCTTTTTTTGGAAGGAATGGTTTAAATAAGCTTAAAGGTGTTATTGAATCTGCTTCAATCGGTGCCTCAGGGGGTTTATTGTGTTGTTGGGATGATGATATCTTCGAATTGGAAAATCAGCATGTAAGCAGGAGGTTTATAGCCATTATAGGTAAATTTAGAGCTAACAACTTCAGTTATGGCTTCATCAATGTTTATAGTCCATCAGTGGAGGAGAAGACTAGTTTTTTTGAAGAATTAAGTCTTTATTTAAGTGATCAGAATTGCCCTGTTTGTGTAGGAGGGGACTTCAATGCTTATTTGTATGAAAAGGAAAAGATTGGCAGAGGGCAGAATAGAAACTCCATGGATATTTTCAATCATTTTATTCTACAATCGGGTCTTATTGATTTACCAAGGACTGGAGGCAATTTTACTTAGACTAATAAGCAAGACAATCCCACTTTTGTAAGATTGAATCGATTTCTTGTTGATAGCGAGTTTTTGGCTGCCTTCCCTGACTTAGTTCAATCTATTCTCCCAAGGTCTGTGTCAGATCACAACCCTATCACTTTTGAGAATAAGGGTGTAGAATGGGGTAAAAAACCCTTCAAATTATTCAATTATTTGATGGATGAGGAAGGTTTTGAGGATTTGATTAGATCTTCTGTTCAAAACAGTAAGAAAAATAAAAGCAATGTGGGTGCTTTTAATATTCTCAAAAATGATAAACGTGCAATCAAGAACTGGGCTGGGAAGAGAGATCAGTATCCAAGAGCTCTGATTTCAAAATTAGAAGAGAAAATTCACAAGTTAGAGGTGGTTCAACAACAACAGCAGGGTGCTTTCGACAAAGAACTATCAGCAGATTTGAATTCTTATAGAGTTGAATTGTGGAGATTGTATAAGATTCAAGAGCAGATCAGTTTCCAGTACTCTCGATCAAGATGGATAAATGAAGGGGACCTAATACTAGATATTTCCATATTTGTGCTTCAGTAAGAAAGAAACTGAATGCTTTGAATGCATTGAACATTGGGGGAAATACTATTAAGGACTCGATGGCAATAAAGGCAGCAGTTAGGGATTTTTTCTTCAAAATTTATAATGTCCGCTCCACTTTGGAAATTGACGACATTAGTCTGATTTTTAACAGAATTTCTTTACAACAAAGTCAATTGTTAGAGAAAGATTTTTCGGAAGAAGAGATTTGGGAATCCTTGAAATCTTGTGACAGTAATAAAGCCCCTGGGCCGGATGGTTTTAATTTGAGTTTTTTCAAGAGGTTCTGGCTTGTTCTTAAGAAAGATATTCTGATTTTCTTTCGCAACTTCTATTTGGTGAAAGAATGGGAACATGGTGTAAACCATACTTTTATCACTCTGATTCCAAAGAAGCCAACTGCGGTGGCCTTGAAGATTACAGACCTATTAGATTAGTAGGTGGGCTATATAAGATTCTGTCTAAGTGTCTATCAAGGAGGCTTAGGAGTTGCATTTCAGACATTATCAGCCCTTCTCAGTTTGCTTTTATTCCTGGTCGACAAATTTTGGACTGCTCTTTAATTGCTAATGAGGGAATTGACTACTGGAGGAAGAATGGTTTAAAGGGTTGTGTATTCAAAGTGGATTTTACAAAGGCCTATGGCACAATAGACTGGCCTATTTTATTCAAAGTAATGGGGAAAACGGGCTTTGGTTCTACATGGATTGGTTGGATTGCGAAATGTGTCACAACAGGTTCATTATCAGTTTTGGTTAATGGGGTTCCTTCAGAAGAAATCCCAATGGCAAAAGGTATTCGTCAAGGCTCCTCACTGTCTCCCTTATTATTTAATATAGTAGGGGAACTTCTGAATCTAATGATCCTTAAGGTTGTTTCACAGAGGTTATTTACGGGTATGGTTATAAGTAGGGAGGCGGGGACTTTCAATTTATCTCATCTTCAATTTGCTGATGACCTAATCATTTTCTGTGGTGCTTCTAAGCAGCAGGTTTTGAATGTGAAGAGGGTTCTTTGAGTTTTTGAACTTATGTCTGGTCTTAAATTGAACTTAAAGAAGTCTAAACTGTTTGGGGTTAATTTGCGTGAAGAGGAAGTTAGTGAGTGGGCATTGGCCGTTAGATGTTCAACTGGAAGCTTTCCTTCGAAATATTTGGGACTTCCCTTTGGAGCACAAAGGAATTCTCCTTTACTATGGGATCCAGTGGTTGACAGTTTCAAAAAAAAGTTAGCAGGTTGGAAGGCTTCCTCTTTTTCTATGGCAGGGAGGTTGGTTTTAATTAAATCAGTTTTATGTTCGCTCCCTTCATATTATTTGACATTGTTTAAGGTTCTGGCTTCGGTCTCCAAGACACTAAATTCAATTATGTCCAACTTCTTATGGGGAGGAGGTAATGGAAATTTCAAGTTTCATTGGGTGGGCTGGTCTACTGTCTGCAAACCGAAATTCCAAGGTGGACTGGGAGTTCCGAACATCGAAATGGTTAATAGAGCTCTTATAGGGAAATGGTCTTGGAGGTATGCAAATGAAAGGAATTCGGATTGGAGGAAACTGATTTGTTCTAAATACAATATTGACTCTTCTTTACTGTTGTTTGAGAGTAAGGTAAAGTCAAATTCTTCTTAGATATGGAGATCTTTGGTGAACAACCATTTCAGAAATGACCCTATTGGCTGTAAAATCATAACAGATTTCAGGTTGGTGATGGGAGTATCATTCGATTTTGGCAAGATGTTTGGGCATTGGATCATCCTTTAATGTTCATTTTCCCAAGACTGTTTTCCATCTCATTAAATAAGGCTGGAAAATTATCTGAGTTTGGAGAATTTAGTTCTTATGGCTGGCTTTGGTATATACAATTGAGGAGGGAATTGAACGATTGGGAAGTTGAGCAGTGGTTTAATTTAATGTCAATCATTTCAAATTTTTCCCTTTCAGTAGATTCTCCTGATGAGCTGGGTTTGGAGGGGCACTGGGGATGGGGTTTTTACTGTCAAATCTTGTGTTAGTCTATTTTTCAGGGACCTTAAGTTCGGAAGAGTTTCATTTATGGAAAAATGTTATTTGGAGGGGTTTGCTGCCTCCAAAAGTGGAGATTTTTGTTTGGCAAGTCACTCTTCAGAAGTTGGCAGTTAAGTCAATTTTGATTAAGAGAGGTATAGATGATGTGTTGTGTCCTCTTTGCAAGCAAAGTGATGAGACCCCCTCTCATTTGTTTTTTCTTGTTCGGTGGCTTGGACTATTTGGAATAAATTCATGTGGTTCTGGAATATTCAATCTGTCTTTCATGCTGATGCAAAAAAATTTCTCCGAGCATGGGCTGATTTGAAGATTAACTCTCTCATATGGTCTTTCATTCTGGGGGTTGTCCTATGGACCATCTGGAAATTCAGGAATTATGTTGTGTTTGAAGGAGGGAAGGTTGATCAGGCTGAAATTTTCTTTCTAGCTAGGTTCAGGTTAGCTTCATGGTACTTAGCAAAATACAAACAGGCTTCAATCTCTAAGGACTCGCTTATCTCTAATCCTACCTTAGGGGACTCGTTTTTTCCACTCTCTAAGCCGGTCTCAACGGTGATTAAATGGTCCCCTCCTCCAAAGGGGTTTATTAAATTAAATGTAGATGCTGCCACTACGGGCGACTGGATGAGAAGTGGGTTAGGTGGCATTTTGAAAGAAGACTCTGTGTCTATCATAGGGTCTTATAAGGATCCAGCAAGTCCTGGACCTCCTTCTTTGATGGAACTCAAAGCTATCCTTAAGGGTTTATCTTTCATTGACTCTATTCGACATAGGATCAAGGATCGCCTTATTATTGAGAGTGATTGCAGGGTGGTTGTTGACTGGGTTAAGGATCCTGTTTCTTGTCCTGATGTTTATGCTCACTTTGTTAAAGATATTATTGAAAAGCTTAGAGATTGTGAAGGTGTTATTAGATGGGTCAATAGGGCAGCCAATATAGAGGTTGATACTCTAGCAAAAGCTGGTATTGGTTGATCTATTTGTTGTTTTTAAGGGCTGTTTGTTTAGCTAGCCGATCTCCTTAAAGGAGTTCAGGGTATTGTATCCCTATGTTCTAATCCTTTTTTTAATAAAATTCAAGGCACTCTTTTCCTCCTTTTGATGATTAAGGGACTCTTTCCGAGTTCCGTTAATCATGAAGGGGGTTTCTAACGAAGCCTACTATTCCAATCAAAAAAAATTATACTGCCCTAAAGAAGTTTCTTTCTATCTCTGAATTCCTCTTTTAGTACATTTTAATTAAAAATCCTTTTTCATACCATTAAGGCACTGACATGGTTGATATAAACTAAAATGAAAAACTGGTAAGGCACCTAAAAAATAGATGGGACGAACCAGAAATGCTAAGAAAATGAGTTGAGGAAAGAAAGGTAGAGTAGTCAAGCATCAGATGATGCCGTAAATTGCAACAAGAAACTAATCTACCTTACGATGTCATCACTGATCTCTGGAGTCATGCTATTGCTTCTTCTTCTCATTCTACGAGCGTCTGATGTTGATGCACCATCAGATCTATAGCTAGATCTACATTTCAAAGATAACAGTAAAATTTGTCAACAATTTGGCTTTTCAGTCTAAAGTTAGTTTACAGAACATGGAAAAGGGAATAGAAAACAGATTAATAAAAACCACAACATTCTTTTCACTAAGCCAAACTTTAAACTAAAAATCGACATTCAAATTCTGAACATCACTAGGTTTTGAATCAAGTGAACACTGTCACATTACATTAACAAATGCCTAAACACAAAGCACAATAATTTATCTTGGAATAATGGTAAAGATGATGAATAAAAATATGGTTACAATAAGAAATCTGTTTGAAGGAAACTCCAAACTCCGCTCCACTCCCTTTCTCCATCCAACTCTATTACTCAAATGAAAGATGTTTTGGAGCAACAGAAGAATTTGGGGGAAGAAGGATGGATATTTGCATGTTTTGACATGAAAGCCACGTTCATATTGCAACCTTATCATTAGAGAATACAAAATGTTTCATTCACCGTTTCTTATAACAAAAATTTAGGGGAAGGAGGACGGAGATGTGCATGTTTTGACATGAAAACCATGAGCATACTGCAACTTTATCATTAGAGAATACCAAATGTTTCATTCATCATTTCTCATAACAAAAATTCAGGAAACATAAGAACCAATTAACAAATGAAAAGTAGTTTATATTTACAGAAAAATAATCCAATCAGAAGGAACCTTGATGTAGCAGTATCATCAACAAAATGTCTATCAGAATTCCTCTCGCCGCTTAGAATGGACCTTGCACGTGCTCGAAAAGATGGATGCTCTGGACTGCAAAGGAATTAAATTTTTTAAAAGAACAAGAATTTAGGCTTGAATTTAGGCTTTTTCAAGAAATTCTGGTCTAGTTTGAAAGAGGATATTATGCTGTTTTTTAAGGATTTTTTCGAGGGGAAGGAGTGGGATCTAGAGGTGAATCATTCTTTTATTTCTCTTATTCCTAAGAAGATTAACCCGGAGGGGATGGGGGATTTTAGGCCAATTAGCCTTGTGGGAGGGCTATACAAAATTTTGTCAAAGGTCTTGGCTAGGAGGTTCAGTTTATGCATTAATGACATTATTAGTCCGTCCCAATTTGCTTTTATCCGAGGGAGGAGCATTCTGGACTGCTCCTTCATAGCGAATGAAGGAATCGACTTTTGGAGGAAGAAAGGGTTGAAGGGGGTGGTTTTTAAGGTAGATTTTAAGAGAGCATATGATTCAGTTGATTGGGTGATTTTGTTGAAAATTTTGGGTAAAATGGGGTTTGGCGAAAAATGGCGTTCTTGGATGTTTCAGTGTATGTCAACTGCTTCAGTTTCTGTTTTACTGAATGAGACTCCTACTGAGAAAATTCATACAAAAAGAGGTCTTAGACAGGGATGTTCGTTATCACCCTTGTTGTTTAATTTGGGTGGTGAATTGCTTCATTTGATGTTAACTAAAGCAGTGGATTTGGGACTGTTTTCGGGTTTTGAGTTGGGAGCCCATGATCGTTTATTCAAGCTATCGCACCTACAATTTGCGGATGATCTTATTATCTTTTCAAAGGCTTCAATTTGGGATTTGAAGAATGTTAAAAGGGTGCTTTTGATTTACGAGCTATTGGTGGGGTTGAAGATTAATCTAGTCAAGAGCAAAATTTACGGAATCAATATTGAGGAGGATGTGCTTGTTGACTGGTCTAAGGAAATTGGTTGTTCAGTGGGTAAGTTACCAGCAGAGTATTTAGGCCTGCCTCTGGGGTCTAGGAGAAATTATGTTGCAATGTGGGAGCCAATAGTGCAGAATTTTTATAATAGGTTGTTGGGCTGGAAGGTGAATTCACTAGCATTAGCAGGGAGGGTGGTGTTGATCAAATCTGTTTTGTGCTCTCTTCCCACTTATTTCCTATCTTTATTTCGAATTCCACTAGCGGTGCTGCAAAAATTAAACTCTATAATGGCAGCATTTTTATGGGGGGGGGGTCGAATGATAAAAGAAACATACATTGGGTGAATTGAGGTTTGGTCAGCAAGCCGAGAAGGTTGGGGGGCCTAGGGATCCCGAACTTAGCTATTCTGAATAGAGCATTGTTGGGTAAATGGGTTTGGAAGTTTGCCTCTGAAAAGGATTCTTGGTGGAAAAGAGTAGTTTGTTGTGTTAATAATTTGGACCCGAACTCCAAAAAGGTTGAGAGCTCTTTGACTGCTCGTGCCTCTTGGATTTGGAGAGGAGTGATAAATAACTTCTTTTCTAATGATGGATTTGGTGTCTGCATTAGGAGTAATTTGAGGTGGAAAACTAGAAATGGCCATTATGTGGCTTTTGGAATGATGCTTGGTTGGGTGAAGTCCCCTCAAAGATTTGTTCCCAGATTGTATACTCTTTCGATGAATAAAGAGGGAAAGTAGTGGAATTTAGGGAGAGTAATGCTGCAGGCTGGGTGTGGGATATTCAATTCAGGAGAAATCTGGTGGATTGGGAGGTTGACCAATGGTTGCATCTGATTTCTTTGTTGAACAACTCCTCTTTGTCGCATGATGAGGAAGACTGTTGGATTTGGTTAGGGAATGGAGAGGGTTGTTTCTCTACTAATTCATGTATCAAGAGTTTCTTTGACTCGGATGGTATTGAGGGGAATCAGGATTTTTGGGACAGAAATGTTTGGGTAGGGATAGCACCTCCCCGTGTTGAAACCTTTTTATGGCAAGTAGTTCATCTGAGAGTGGCGGTTAAGGAGGAATTGTTAAAGCGTGGAGTGGCTGGAATTGAAGATCCCTTATGTCCGTTGTGTGGCAGATTTGGTGAATCTGTTCCCCATCTCTTTCTGCATTGTGAGGTTGCTTGGGGACTGTGGGTCAGATTTTTGAATTTGTGGGATGTTGATTGGGTGATTCCTAGTAAACCTTTAGAGTGCATCACACAGTGGGACGAGCTTCTTCCGAATTCTACTATTTGGAAATACATTCCAAGGGCAGTCTTGTGGACGGTTTGGAAAATTAGGAATGAAGTTATTTTTAAGAAAGGGAAGTTGGATGTGGTGTTGTTGTTCTTTATTGCTCGGTTTAGAATAGTTTCTTGGTTTGCTGCTAGTTTTGATTCGCAGATTCCTTTTGATTCTCTGATGGGCGATTTAACACTTGCTGATTCAATGGTCAGCCACAAAGTAAGATCCAAGCCTTCGTGCTGGGTTCCTCCTCCAGTTGGGTTCTTAAAGATTAATGTTGATGGAGCAATGGTGAAGGGGTGGAGCAAAGGAGGTATAGGAGGCCTGATTAGGGACAGCAGTGGTAAGTTGATTCATTGGTTTGCTGAAAATGTTGGGGGAGGTCCCCCGATTATGGCAGAACTTCTGGCGATTAAGAGGGGGTTGGGCTTGCTTATTGATTCAGGTGGGGTTTGTAACCAGAGGATTATTTTAGAATCAGATTCTTCCAACGCGCTGAAGTGGATCAAAAATCCGGAACTAAGCACCCCTTTATTCCAATCATTGGTGAAGGAGATAGTCTCTACTATGGAAGGGTTGGACATTTCGTTAAGGCTTATCTTGAGGGCTGCTAATTGGGAAGCGGACAGATTAGCTAAGGATGGTATAGGCTGATTTGCTTTCTTAGTATTTGGGGAGTTGGTGTGTATGTTTCACTTTGTTCTGCAGTTTTTGGTTATCAGTCTTATGTTATTAGTGACTACGTTGTCCAGCTGATAGTGGTTTTTAAGTCTCATGTTTTTTGGGAAGTTTTGGTTGTTGTTAGGGCTGGCTATGTACTATTCTACTGTTTAATATAATTATAGGCGCTCTTTTCCTCCTTTCAAGGCCCTTCATGTTACTTTCATAACATGGAGGGTAAAATAAAGGGGGTTTTTACGAGGCCTCATATTCTATCAAAAAAAAAAAAGAACAAGAATTAATTAACACATGCTCTCATACAACTTACTGCCAACATGATGCAAAAGGACAATATGTTTAAAGAAAAGATATCAGCCTCAAATGTTGTTATATACTTTCAGTTCAATCGTCCCCTTTATATAGGTTTACTGGTCCAGGTTACCTTTTCTACTTCATATAGTTATTAGTTTTGCTTACGTTCCAAGTATCAGGGCTTTAGGGTAAATCTGGTATTTTGCATTGTAATATGGTATACTGGTTAGCTTAAGGATATCAAATTATTTTAGTTTCAATTAGGTTTACGGTGATGAATGTTGAAATTTTCTCCTATTGATTTTTCCCATCCGTTAATTCTTCTATTCCTCTCCTTATTTCATCCATTTCACCCAAATTACATCCGCATACCTCTAATTTTCTCTCTACAATACATTACTATTATATTGAGTCGAGCAATAAGCGCAGGGACCAACAAGAATATCAAGTCATGATAAAACTCAAACCAAACATAATAGGACTACACCATTCACTTTTAGCATATACAAAACAAAAACACAAAAGGGCATGAGAGAAACCTGGAACTTGCAGTTCGCTGTTCAGCAATAACCTTTCTTCGGCTACGACGCCAGAAAGTATTTGGTTCACTATGCGACAGACTAAAGACAAAATAAATATATATATATATAATAAGAAATTTATAATACCAGACATGCTGTAGCATATATAATTTTCAATCATGCATGTCTTTTATCTTGTGAGCTAGGAAGCACATAAACATAAAATAGTATGAAATGACATGACATGGAAACAACAACTCTGGAAGTTCTTAAAATTAAGACATGGGTATGAAATGATCAACAATAAAATATATACTTTTATCCAATAATATACAATAAAATAGAAAAAAAACATATTTTTCAATTAAACATAAATATGCATTATAGCTTTTCCAAAAAAGGTATTCAATTTTATTTTGAATTTAAAAACTTGAACCTTAAAAAAAACTCATAAGAATCAATTTGCTCATTGTAGACTTGTAGTTCCAAATTTAGGAGAAATGGAAAAAAGAACTTCATCACATATCCATGCATGTATAATCTATCCGAATGAGTCCAATGTCTTGCACATCTTTCCTTCATTTCAAATTTTATATATTATTATTATTTTTTTTTATAGAAGTTGGAGGTCTCATTAAAAACTCCCTTCGTATTCGTTCACATACTAAGAAGTATGTTAACGAACATTGGAAGGAAGAAAAGAGTACCTCAAAGTTTATTAATAATAATACCCAATACAAAAGATAACACAGAATATCCTCCTATGGTGATATTCACCATTACAACAAACACCTTAAGCTCATAAAACCTCATCCAAAGTCACAATCGAATCACCTTATTTCTAAATACATCTCCAGCAATAGAATTAAAACAACGCAACAGAACATAATACAAAAGGGACGCAACACCTGCAACCATATAAACTAAATCAAAACACAATTAGAGAGACAAGATCTAATGAGATTCGTCTTCTTCAGGAGTCCAAGAGTTTGGCTTGAATGAAGGCTCTATCTCATGCACCATGATCTTGAAGGAGTTGTCACCAACCTTCAATTCCAACGTCGCATCAATTCTCGCACCAGCCTTTGCGAGGACTTGAATTTTTGCCCGATCAAAGGATGATGGTGACTGACAGCTTTCATCGATTGCTAGTAACTGACCCCAACAATCAGCAATGTTCTTGAAAGTATCCCAATTCCATACGTGAAACGGAACACCCTCGCAAACTAACCATACTCGACGACACTCCATTACCAAACTCTCTGACCAAGCTTCGACTATGGAGAACCACTCTGCGAGAGTCTTTGATTTATCGTTCTCAACACTTCTCAATGAAGCAGAGTCTTCGAAAATCATTAATACTGCATTACCAGCAGCTCTCATTAAGGAGAAGCCAGTGAGGCCCTTTGCATGCATTTGTCTAGCGAGATGACCGATTTTGATAAATTTTTTGCACCATCCCACTAGACAATTGCTCAACACCTGAAGTTTTTCTTCATCTATAACGCCTTCAGCTTTATAATGATTCTTCCTCGAATCATCTCCCATCTCGGACTTACGAAAAACACCTGTCGAGGACTTTCTCCAATAGGAATGTCGAGGTTTGAATTTAGCGAAAGAAACTCCAATTTTGCTACCGTCGATATGATAGCCATTCATTTTTGAGATCGCTCTCCTTGCTTCTTCGATTGATGCGAAGCGAATGAAACCAAAGCGAACTCCTTTTGAATTTCTTTTATTTGGAATAAAAACATCAAGTACCCGACCGTGAGAGCCAAATAAAGATCCAAACCTCTTCCAATGGATCTTCTCTGGTAAATTCTCAATAAATAACGTGTAACATCCAGACTTGTCATTACTGCACCCCTTTGTGGTGAACTCCCCAATTCCCTCGTGTACACCATCTACTGCAGACTTTTTAACGCAACACCCAGTTTTAACAGGCACATGAGTACTAGGAGATCCTACAGAAGCTGGATTTGGCAATGGCAATACTAGATGAACAGGAAAACGTCCATTGTCAAAAGCATCAGAATCAGAAACTAATCCTCTTTTAACAACAAGATTCTTCCTTGCCATCTCAATGTGCAAAAGAGACTTCAACTTAGCATCAAAAACCATTTTCTGAAGGACATCCTTGGCAGCAACCGCAAATTTTTCATTTGAGAAGAGAGCGAAACCCTTAGGCTTTTCTCCCTTGAAGTTCAATTGCGAATCTTCATAACCTGGAAGCCATCTAAGTAGATTCTGTAGCTCTCTCTCTTTGACGTCTTCAGGCAGACCCATAATGAAGATAGTACGAACCTCGTCAGGATTAGAAGGGTGAGATGGCGGAGAAGGTGCAGCTGCAGAGGGTTTATGAGCATGGACCGAAGGTCTCTGCTGGAGAGAAGAGTGGATTCCAGCACCCGGCATGTGATGAAAGACTGATGAAGTGAAAAACCCAGATACTTGACGAACTAATCTGGAAAAAAAAATTCCCAGAATAAGAGCTCAGAGTTGAATCGGTAGTGTCGGAGGAAATCCACCAATAAATGAGTCTGAAGACTGGGACGGCAGAGGAGAAAAGCAGAAGGTTTGGAGCAGTGAACGTCTGTTCTTGCTGAAACTGCTCACTGCAAAACTGCTCACTGCGTCTGTTCTACCGGCGAAGTAAACTGAAGTCTACGTATCACCCCTGGAAATAAAATTTCCAGAACAAGAGCTCAAAGCTAAATGGGCAGTGTCGGAGGAAATCCACCAATAGATGAGTCTGAAGACTGGGTCGACAGAGGAGAAAAGCAGAAGGTTTGGAGTAGTGAGAGTCTGTTCTTGTTGAAACTGCTCACTACAAAATCATGGAGAGATGCAACTATTCTCGACACTAAGAAAATGGGTTATGGTCGTAGAAAGGCTCTGAGTACGGAGGAGATGCGATGTCCGGTGTACGTTCAACGGATGGAGACGAAAACGGCCGTGAGCGGCGTTTAGATCTACAACGAATAAGAGTCTTAATCGGAAAACCAAACCCAGAATAGGAAACACCTTGTGCTGGCGATCTTCCCAGGAAAAAACGGCTTCAAAACGGTGGTCGGCGGATGACGGCTGACGACGACGGCGGCAGGTGGCGGACGAAGGCGGCGGACGACTGGTGGTTGTCGGTGGAGAGACGCCTGGGCTCGTGGAAATTTGAATTTTGAAAACGCCTAGGTTAGAGAGAAGCTGGAGCTTCTCTCACTAAAACAAAAATTTGATCTATATTTTATTATTATTACTTTGATGTGTTCTAACATGTCTCATACTATTCTATAATGTTGGAGCCGAATCTCTGTTGGACACTTGTCGGACAATTGGAGGCTCACATGAAGAAAGTGTGTGCTTCATAGCATGGAGATGTCATAATAACATATTACTTTAACTTCCCTTCTGTAGATGCGGAAGTTTGTATCATCAAATTCACAATGCAGCTCCAGTTATATTAGAAGACCTATCTAATTTTGAATGAAACATAAGGTTCTCATTTTTTTCAGCACTGCAGCAACCCAAATTAAAATAGTAAAATTCTACTTATCCCAGTGTTTAAAAAGGTGCAGCTGAGGCGCGCCTAGGCGCTAAGGCGAGGCGAGCCAAGGGTGAAGCGCCTAATTAGGTCTAGGCGAGGTGATTTCAATGAAGCGCAGAAAGGCGCTGCCTCTTCAATTTCTTTGGTTCTTTTTGTCCTTTTTTAAATATTTTTTTTCGTATGTTCTACATACTAACTTGTACATCAACAACAAAAAAGAGAGAATAAATGAAATGTTAGTGGAGAAAAGAGTAAAACATGGTGAGAGTGATTAGAAAGTTTCATGGGGGTTGCTTTACCTTGTATAATTACTGTTTGTCTTGAAGTTTGAAAGGGAGAGAAACAAAGGGGGATGAATAGATGCTATTTTTGGTGTTAAGAAAGACAGACTGAGCAGACAAAATGAGGCATGCATGCACGTTGAGAATTGGGGGAGGAAAAGATAGGTTTCGGTGAGTTTTGTTGCATAGTGATGGGTTCTTGAGCAGCACATTTAGCACATGGCGAAATTTGAATCCATGAGAAAGAAAGAAAAACTAGGAAACACAATTTAGAAATACAAAAATTGAGAATTAGGGTGGATTTGGAGAAGTGGGTTTAGGGTGTAGGCGGTGTTAAAAAGGAGGAAGACGCGTTTGTTGAGGCGTGCGAGATGGAGGGACAAGAAGACAAATATGAAGTTGATGCCAACTCATTATTAGAATTTTATTTATTGTTTCAGTTTCTTATATGGAATTGTGGACCAAGGAAGGAGGGGGAGGGGGAGGGGTTTGCTTGGGTTTTAAGGGTTGGACGGAACAACTTGTATATCTTTTATTTTCAAAAAGTGTGCCTTACTTCAATAAGGCGCACGCCTTGCTTCTTGGATATAAAACCCCTATTGCCTTAGTGCGCCCTGCACCCTTTTTAACACTGACTTATCCAAAAATGTCATCTTAACATCTCACAAACACTTCTGACCAAGTACATTATATAAAAAAAAGATCGAAAGGATAGTAGAAACAATATTGGAATGTGTCAAATGCCATATACTAACCTGTCGTGTTCAACTTTCTCAGAAAGTCCATAGAGTGGACTATTTGGCTCTAATGGTGAATCACATGAGTCATTTTCAGCAGAATCACTCTCCCCTGTTGCTGAAAAATGGGTCATAAAAATAGCCTTTGTTGATCGTGGTATCAACTGGCCTGGAAACCGCATAAGATCAACGAGTAGCTCCACAGAATTTAACACAACTATCACAGACATATGTTTATATGAATCTGGACACTCGAACGCCCCATCATTTGGCAAACCCTGAAAGAATGACAGGAAATTGGAACAACCATTCAGTCAAAGATTTGTCAATCGAAAATAAAAGATGCCTTAGAAAATTTTTAATTTTATTCAACTTAATTTCACACGGTCTGAAATGTGATATATCATCATAAAAGAAGTGGATCTTTTAATCTAAACTAACAATTGAAGAGGGAGAGAAGTGGAGCTTACCACGATGAGTTTACTTTCAATCCCTACAGTATCTGCTAAAATCTTAAACAAAATGGCCCGTGGACGACATAAACCATGCTTTATTTGCCCCAGCATCTGGACACTTTGATTTTCAAACATGTGGGAGGTTTCATCTAGTGCAGCTTTTGCGGGACTTTCAGTAGTTGTACGTTTATAAAAATCAGAAACCTTGGCAATAGCAGGAGATACAAGAAAAGAAATCATTATAAACAACCAAAGAACTGAAAAGATAAAATAAATGCTTACAAAGTACTTCCAATAGGGATACGCTATGTTGCTTTGACTCTTCATTTTTCCTAACATACACATGTTCAATATCCATATGACATTTTTGGAAATGAGCATGGGTATGATTCTCTAACTATATGGAAAAACTAAGTACGGAATGAGTACAAAAGACAAATTGACAAAGAACAAGATATTATAGGCTTGTCTCATTGTTCAAGGGATAAACTAGCCAGCATTGACTATAGGTTTTATCCAATTTATTTTTCATACTTAATGTAGAGTACTAAAAGTAAATTATATGCTGTCCTATAAAGTTACTTTATCAACCTACGGAATAACTTAATTTTAACTTTAGAAATTTTATTCCAGAAATGTAATGACCCTTCCATGGCCAAGCACAAATATAAACACCAGAAATTTTGTTACCTTCTAGCCTAAAGCATTCCCTTGTAAAATCTTTTCAGATATTCTATAGATCAAATTAATTTCAGACAGGTTTTTTAAATCGCCTATATTCTATGTGAAATAAATACTGCATAACATTTAGCAAATACCAGTAGCAAACTGCCTGCATTGAATGGGAAATAAACACTTCATTTTGTTTACCAATATCACTAGAAGAAATTGAAACATGTTAACACTGATACAATACGAATTTCTTTTCACATAATATGACAAGTAGCATGCACATAAAAAGCCCAAAATATAAAGCCCATTCAAGAAAGACTGACAATGTGTTTGCATAAAGAAACTTGATTTCCAAAAAGAAAGAAAATAAATTCTATCTGGTAACAACACAACATGTGATGCTATCGAGAAGGTAACAAAAAAATCAGAAATACAGTCAAGAACACTAGGCAACGTGGGTCAGGGGAAGATGGCCCAAAGAAGAAAAGAAATATTAAAATATTCTCACCAGTTCAGCAATCTTTTTAATCATTGAAGCTGGATTTGAATTCAATCCTTTAACCAGTGCCACAATCAACTGTTTCAGCATGGATAGCTTTTTATCTTTTTGAAAATCCACAAGAATAATATCAGCTTTATAACCTTCTCCACCCAATGCCTGAAGCTCTTCCAGTGTAGGAATAGAGTCAAAATGCTCCTTAAGCCTTTTATCCTGTGAGTAGTAATACTTGAACTTTAAAGAAAATCATATGAAATAAGACTAAATGAAAATCCAAGTGCAGAAATAATGCATGCGTTATTGTTGGTTCACCAGCAAAGATACGAACTGTATATGATACAAATAGCAGGACTAAACAGGCACAAAATTACTTCATGGTTTTACATTTCATGGAATCTACAAAATCCTACATTATGATTTTAAATTTCAAGGAATCTACAGACTCCTTTCAGAAGACAGCTAACCAGATTTCTCTGCCAGGGATTAAAACATTTCCTGAACTGATAGTGTAAAGAAAATATCTGATAACGGAACAAAATAAAGGACAAGGAGGTAACTTCTCTTTTTCCTTGAATAACAAGATTTTACCCAGTAAACTATTGCTGAACTTTGATTACAGACGGTCCTTATAAGTTAGATCCACCAACTCTTCCAGATGCAATTAATTTATGCCTTTATTTTTTTCTCAGCAGAGAAGTACAGTTACAAGTTAGTAACCATCAAATCTTCAATTGGGAGGCTCATTACTTCAATTAGTCCCTATGTTTCTTCAATGGATTCTCTTAATTATTGAGAGGGTTGCCCTAAGCCAGTAAGAAATAATTTTCTTTGAAATCCACATTTCTCAACATAGAAGCAGAGTCGAGAGATCAAATCCAAAAGCATATTTTCATGCACAAGTGACTGGATTCTGCTTTAGGTAGCAAACAATCACCAAGCATAGGAATGCCACCAATCATAATAGAAATCTTATAGATGGTAGACCAGAAAATGATACTTGATATACAATTTTAGGTTTGATCAAATATCATTAAGAGCTCTGATTGTCATATTGGTATATGGAGTTAGAGAAAACGTTCAATGAGAAGCTACATAACAAAGTGAAGAGTTCTAGATCTATACATTAGGATGTGTTTAAAATCATGTTAACTATTCAATTGGTTGAAAGAAAAAGCATTGCAAATGGTATAAATACATTTTGATGAATGTAAATGTGCTCTTTCTTTCTTGAAAGAAAACCCCGGAATCTATTATCATCACAATTCACAAACAAATAAGATTTTGATTCTTACATGTGCTCTTCAAATGCTTACAGCCTCACTGCAAGTCTGCAACTCCATATAATAGTCTATTCAATGCTGGGCATACAAGGGCCTAAGAGGACATCTTTTCTTCCAATGCATCTTAAAGTGTATGATGTTTCATGATTGAAACTTTTATTAAGACAATGGAGAGTCAAGTTGATCTAGGCCAGAATCTGATCTACACCTTTAGTTTTAAAAGGCACAAGCTGCACCGAGGCACAAAGGGTCTCTAGAGTCTAGGCATAGGGTGAAGGCACACACCTTTCGTATGCGAAGAGCACTTTTTATACTAAAAAACTTATTTTTATACTAAAAAAAAAGTATAAATCAATTCTCAAGTATATCTATACCAATTATCCACAGGTTCACTCCTGAAATACTTAATATCCTCCACACTCTATTCCTTCACCATTACTTATTCCCTCTTCAACCCATTTCTATAATTCACAAAACACTAATTTCCAAAATATTTCACCACAAAATTAGGGTTACACTGTAATAAGCCAACATCATCTTCTAAATTCATAAAATCATCACATAAATACTTTAAAATCATCAAATGTGATTTTAAATCAATACCCTTAGCTAATATATTGAATGTGTATACTTATAAAAGCTTGAAGGCTAAGTTTAACTTTTACAGTCATTAAAGGGTAAAATTCAACAAAAAAAATTATTTAATCGGTATTTATAAGTATTTATAAGATTAAATATTATTTAAAATATAAAGATGATTTTAATCATTCTTATTCATTAATTATCATGTTTTAAATAAAAATATATTATTTGAGAAATTATTTAAATAAAATAAAGTATTATTTAAAATAAAGAAATCACTGACATAGCAGGTTTGGAGACACCATGTCTCTCCACCTCACTTGCTGCAGCACTCAATCTGCTTTTAGTTCTCCCCTAAAGAGGCAGAAACAGTGATAAAAAGAAAGAAGGAGACCGAAAACATGGCAAGCTTGGACCTCTCTCCACATCACCTACTGCAGCACTCAATATGCCATTTAATTCCCCCTAAAGAGACAGAAACGATGATAAAAAGAAAGAAGCTGACTGACATAGCAGGCTTGTACCAACTATGTCTCTCCACTTCACCTGCTGCAGCATTACCCTTTTCTTTTATTCCACCTAAAATGGTGGAAGCAGTGCGCCTAGGGTATCTTCAAAAAGCACTTACTTTCGAGCGCCTGGAAGTACTTTTTGTTGGTCGTTGCGCTTATGCCTTTAAAGGCATTTAGTTCTGTGCCTATAATCTCCCTGCGCTTTAGGCGCACCTAGGCGCACTTTTTTAAAACTAATCCTACACCATGATAATCCCACTTAGAAACAATTTGGAAGTGCTTCAGTACCAATAATGGAATCAAAACACACAGAACAATCTTATTTTGCTCAAGAAAAAATGGTAATCCAATCAGGTCCATCCCGTGAACAACAATGACATCTCTTCCGCATAAATAAAAATTTCCTTATAGATGAAAAGCACAAGACATCAGAGCTATCATGATAATTTTCAAAGAGCTATTATACTTTTCTTCTTTATCTGAAATTTTTTAGGGATTAATTATCAGATATGGATGACTCTTCTCTAACTCTGCAGAAAAATTCACATCAATCTCCCTTACCTAAAGTGAATCTCACAACATAAAATTCACCCTCAGAAGTGGGGAAACTTGCATAAAAAATCTTATATTTTTTTTTATAGGAATAGGAGGTCTCGTTAAAAACCTCCCTCATCGTTGCCTCTAAAGAGGAGACAACAAAATGGAGGAGGAAAAGAGTACCTCAATTTATTAATAACCCGGAATTACATAAGATACACTTTACACTATAAACCTCCTAATAGAACAGAACATATCTAAAGCTAAAAGCGATCAACCTATTCCCTCCTTAGCTAGCTTGTCCGCCTCCCAATTGCAGCTCCTAGGTATCCATCTAACCATAATGTCCTTAGCAGAGACTAAGGCACAAATGTCCCCAACGAGGGACCTGAAAAAAGAAGGGGCAGTAACAGGCCTCAAAATCCATTCCACTACCGTTGAACAATCACTCTCTAACACTAGTCTTCCTCTCGCCTCCCATTGGGAAGAAAGAAATAAATCAATTCCCTCTTTAATTGCTTTCAACTCAGCTAACATAGGAGGACCTGGTCCCACAGCAGTAGAAAAAGAGATAAGATCAGAGCCATTCGAGTCTTTAAGAATTCCTCCTATTCCTCCCTGTAAGCCATCAGTTCTTACCGCCCCATCCACATTGAACTTAAAAAAATCAGGTGGAGGAGGAGACCAGCACGTATCCTTCTTCATTTTAGGTGGAAAAATTACAATACTGTCAGCTAGCCTTGGGTCCCCTACCAAAAGATCGACCTGAATATTTGCCTGAGGATATTTTGCTAAAAACCATTTGGCCAGCCTAAACCTGGAAATGAAAAACAGTACAGCCATGTCCAGATTGTCGTTTTCGAACACCATAGAATTCCTAGCCTTCCATGTAGACCACAAAACGACTCCAGGGATAAACTTCCAAATTGAAGAAGACGCCATAAGATGAGACCAAGAACAAAGAAAGGATTGTGGATCTTTAGGCAAAACTGAAAGTACATCCCATAACCTTAGGAACCTATTCCACAACTCCCGTACAACCGGACACAAGAGAAAAAGATGTTGAATTGTTTCTTCATCCTTAAGACATCAAGGACAAGGAACATTTTCCAATAGAACCCCTCGTTTCTTCAGCTCTACTCTAACCGCCACTTTATGGTGAGATAATTGCCATAAAAAGGTTTGAACTATTGGGGGAACCAAACCAAACCACACCCATTTACTCCACTGAAAATTCCCTCTAGTACTCCCTGAAATAGTCAGTCTACAGGACTTCGCCAAGAACAATCCATCGCCTTTCCCAGACCAAGCCAAAAAGTCATCAACTGAATCAATCAAATTAATATTATCTAGCAATGACATCAAGGAAATCCACTGATCTAATTCCCAATCACATAAGTTCCTCCTTAATTGAATATTCCAAACCCATCTACTGTTTTCATAACAACCAAATTCAACAACTTTTCCCCATTTATTACTAGAAAGAGCATGAATCCTTGGGAATTGTTCTTTTAGAGTAGAGTTATTGACCCAAACATCATTCCAAAAAGCAATAAATCTGCCACTCCCCACTTGCAGTTTCGAGTTTGACCTCAAACAATCTCCAATTTCATCCTTCTTCTCATTGTTATTCCTAATTCCTCTCCAAATCCAAGAATCTTGAGAAGAAACTGTCGTACTTATAGATAAAGATAAGTTACTGATATTGTGTTTGCAGCAAAACATATTCTTCCATTGGGACTCCTTTTCATTAGCAAACTTCCAAACCCACTTCCCAAGTAACACTCGATTGATCAAACTCAAATCCAAAACACCCAGACCACCCTCCTCAATCGGTTGACATACCAAATTCCAATTAACCCAATGAATCCGTTTTTGTAACATCCGCAATATCGGGTTAGTGACCAAATTGTAAAGTTTCAGAATTTGGTGACTAAAGTATAAGAATGAAATTGTTCAATGATTATTGGATATATATGATGAAGGTTATTTAGTAATTATTAAAGGAAATAAAGGGTCAATTGACCAAGAAATGAATTAAAATGGGATTGGTAAGGATAAATGCACGTGGAAAGGGAGAGAATTCTCCAGAGTTCTCTTCTCCTTTCTTCTTCTTCTTCACGTGGAAGTCAAGAGCCAGAGGTAAGTTTCTTTGTTTATAATTGAATTGTTGATTTTAAGGTTGGGTTTTGATTATTAGATGATAACTAAGTTTAAGGAAAGCTTAAATCATCTTAAAAGCAAAGGATGGTGGAGTTTGGAGAGATTAAAGATTTAGAGTTTACAAATGAAATCTTGGAAT